GGGGGTCATGTGCTGCAGACTGGGCAACGGGATCCGCGGGTGCGTGGGGAGGAAGCTTTTCAGCGGCTGCTGTCACGAGGGTCGGAGCCGGCGGTAGAGGGGGTTTCATCGCCGTGGTCGCCCTTCCGGCCTCCGCCGGAGGCGTCGCGGCCACAGCCGACCAGGCGGCAACGAGCTCTGGCGACGGCTCAGGCGCACCGGCAATCACCATCCCTGGAGCAGGAAAACCGCGGGGCGAGAAGACAAACCGTAAGCGGAACAGGCGGAGGGCCGGAGAACGGGTATCAGGCGGCGGCACGAAGGGCTTTAAGTAACGCGGAGAAAAATAATGAAGAAGACGAGCGGGACGACCCCACTTATATGGAAGAAGCACTCCCCGAGAGTGAGGAGGAGGAGACGGAGGGGGAAGGCATGGCGAGAGAAGGACCAAGGAGAAGGGAAGAGGTAGTGCAGCAGCCAGTGGTGCAAGTGTCACAGATGGGTTTGCCGCCATCCGACGCCGATCGGACGGGTGTGAATCCAACCTCAAACCCACCAATGAGAGCGAGCCGCGATGGGAGAAATCGAGCCGCCAATGCCAGTCCGGCACTGCACCTACAGGCGTCAATTCCCCGCTACTTTTCACCCGATGAGCTAGCGAAGCGGACAGACCTGTTCGCGGCCATCGCGAACTGGGACTTGGCAGGACTATGCGATAGTCGTCAGCCCCCACTTTCGCGGCGTTTACCGCCAAATCTGTGCCAGCTGTTTTCGCTAGCGCTACTGACACCGTTACACCACCTATCACGAAACCCCGATTCGGAAACGGGATGGCGACTGCTGTTGTTTCTCCCGCGACTAACACTTCGCCAAACCTCGCCTGCACGCCCGAACTGGCCATGCGTCAAGAGTCGGCTCCGAGCCTTCCAGCGTGGCGAATGGGATCAGCTGTACCAAGACGCGTTGACCGCAGTCAACACACCGCCCCCGCCAAGACATCAGCCAGATGCGACTGGTGTCATCAGCCGCGCAGAGAGCCTAGCAAAACGTGGGAGTCTGCGCCGAGCCGTGTTGGCCCTCGAGTCAACGCCCGTCTGCACGCCCAGTCCGGAAATATTGGAGGAGCTGCGACAGAAGCACCCACGTGCTGAAGACGAGGCAGTGACGTGGCCCGAAACACAGGGGTCAAAATTGTCAATCCCCCACGCTGACTTCGCTAAAATGTTGGCGAGGTGCGAGAATGGGGTTGGTGCCGGACCTTCAGGGATGACGTTCGAGCACCTACGCGATGCGGCGATTACGAACGGAATGGTCAGCACCCATCTCCACGCCTTGGTCAACACTGTGTTGGGAGGCAAATTGCCAGGCCCGGTAGCTAACCTGCTGACGGCATCACGACTCATCGCCCTCGCCAAGCAGGGGGGAGGGGCTAGGCCTATCGCCATCGGCGAATGCCTAACCAGGCTGGCAGCCAAGGCTGCCCTGTTAATCATGGGAGACCCGGTCCGCGAATTTTTCTTACCCCTACAGTACGGGGTAGCAGTTCCAGGTGGGGCGGAGGCAGTAATCCACGCAGCCAGGGCTTTTTCGGATGCCCGCCCGGACAGCCTGGTACTACAAGCCGACATTACAAACGCGTTCAACAGCATTTCGCGTTCCGCCATCGCCGACGCGTTACAAGAGCCCACCCTCTCGCCACTGCTGCCGCTCGTGCAACTGACATACGGTAACCCGTCGCAGCTACTACTGGACTCCAATTTCAACAGCGCACCACTGACAAGCGAACGCGACGTACGCCAGGGAGACCCACTGGGGCCACTTCTATTTGCAGCAGGGATACACGCTACACTCCGAGAAACTGCCGAAGCACACCCGGACGTGCTGTGCCTGGCATATGCTGACGATGTCACCTTCCTGGGTGACACAGACCGCACTGTAGCTGCATTCACATGCTTCACGACAAAATTGGCGCGCCTGGGCCTCGAACACAACCCACAGAAGTGTAGTGCCTGGAGCTCCTGCGCAATTGACACATCCTGCCTTCCGCCAGGAGTGCCGTTCTCTAAAGGTGGCATGAAACTACTGGGTAGCTTCGTGGGGCCAGACAGCGGCGCAGCTCGGTTCCTGGCGGGTCAGCTCGCCGAAATGGCGAAACCCTTACCCCTGCTCGAGCGAACGGACCCCCAGGTCGCAGCGCTGCTACTTACGCGATGCATATCGCGACGAGTTGCATATCTCACCAGGACGACCCCACTGCACCTTCTCCCTCGTGACACATGGAGCCAGTGGGGTAGGGATCTGCTCGCCACGCTCCTCACAGCTTGCGATATCCGTGTTCCCACGTGTCGAACCGAACAGTCACGGGTCTGGGAGCAAGCATCACTGCCGCCATCCTTGGGAGGGCTGGGCATCACCGACCCCCTAGTCGAAGGGATCTATGGTTTCGCAGCCAGTTTTACGCAGGCGGCATTGTACCTCGGGTGTTTACCGCTGGAAGAAGATACCGCCCTCACCCTGGCACGGAATCATATGCTACTGCCACGGGCTGACAGCACACCGCTACACGAATGGCTGAAGGAGTGTGAGGAGGCACTGCCGCAGGATGCACGGGAGATACTCGAGACGGAGCGGCTCAAACGTTCCGACATCCGGCTCCAACACGTGCTTGGACTCAAGGTCCACGGAAGCAGATACGCAAAGCAGGTGCAGGCGACGAGGCGCATGAAGCCGAATCCGCTTGCGGGGCACACACAGAGGATGTTTTCAATGACGGGCTACGGCACAGGCGACTGGCTCACCGCGATCCCCATTGCCCCTGCTAGGCGGATAGGGCCGGTACACTTCGCAAATGCGGTTCGTTTCCGACTCGGCCTACCGTTTTCGACCCCCAAAAACTGTGACTGCGCTGACCACACGGCTATCACAGACCCCCGCCTTCCGAACCACCTGCTCCGCTGCGGCACAGGCAAGCACCGCACGAACACGCACAACGAGCTAAGGGATGCCTGCGTCAGCATGGCGCAAGACGCAGGGTTTATAGTGCACAGAGAGTCGGCCGCCTACTGCCCCATCGAGGAGCAAACCGCCGACTTCACTATGACCGACAGAAGCAGTGGGGCGGTTTACATCTGCGATGTAACCATCACTGACCCCATCAGCACCAGGGACCCAGAGGCACAGAAGGGCAGGGGGTGGGCGGCGCGTGAGCAAGCGGACAAGAAAATAAAACATTACGCCAACCGCCCAGAGACGATAGGCTTCTTCCCACTGGCGGTAGACACCTACGGCTGCCCATGTGCCGAGGTCCCGGTCTTCCTCAAGCTCCTGGCAGACACAGCGGCTCGGCGCCACTTCAACGCCGACTCAAAATCCTTCTATGCCGCCAAGTTTCTGCATCAATTCAGACAGAGGTGGTCTGTGGCCCTCCAGAGGGCTCAGTCAGTGGGACTCTTGATCAAATTGGGGGAGGCTGCAGCAGCTGAGAACCCACCTGTTGGAGGCATAGGGCAGGAGATGCACCTTGGGGACTGCTTTGCGGTGGTCGAGCCTTTGCTGGAGCTCTAGAGTGTGTGACGGTGTGGTAGTTGTGTGACTGGTTGGCTTTGTTTGTTGGTTACCTAGGCCCTTATACCGTGCATGCTTGTACTTTCCTGCTATATCAATACAAGGACCATTAGAGAGAGAGAGAGAGAGAGAGAGAGAGAGAGACCCGTGGGACCCAAGCCTCAGGGACCTGTGGCAGGTCCTCGAGGATGACCTGGCCCAGCTACTCGACTTCGGTGAGTCGAGGGCCGGGCCAACCCCTAGTGGTCGGCCCAACCGCAGGAGGCTCTCCTCGGCTGGGCAGGAGAAGGGGGTGGGGATTGAGGCGCCCTGCAGGAGGTTGGGCAGGCCAGCAGTGATGCAGCCGTGAGAACTGGTGCAGTAACTATGCAGCTTGGCATGGCAGGCAGACAGGCCCAACGAATGCATCGTATGTGACTACGGTCAACTTAGAACTTGCGTACCTATGCCACCATGCTTGCTAGGATTGCTGTTGCTTTGCTTGTACCTTATACGCACATCAATGAAGGACTGCTTGAGAGAGAGATAGAGAGAGAGAGAGAGAGAGAGAGAGAGAGAGAGAGAGAGAGAGAGAGAGAGAGAGAGAGAGAGAGAGAGCGAGAGAGAGAGAGAGAGAGATGGCTAGGCCTAGTCCTTAGCCGTTTCTAACCCTCTCTAGTGTAGGATCTTGTCCTTAGCCGTTTTTCAGCCCAGTACCTAGTATATAGGCCCTAGATGCTCCATTCGGCTCTCTCATTCTTCACTGGTGAGTTCAGTTTACTCTCCAAAACCGGCGGCTCGTTCGAGAGAGAGCGAGAGAGAGAGAGAGAGAGAGAGAGAGAGAGAGAGAGAGAGAGAGAGAGAGAGAGAGAGAGAGAGAGAGAGAGAGAGAGAGAGATGGCTAGGCCTAGTCCTTAGCCGTTTCTAACCCTCTCTAGTGTAGGATCTTGTCCTTAGCCGTTTTTCACGATCTTGTCCCTACAGCGGCAAGCGGCGCCGTCTCTTCGTTCGGGGGTAGTTGCTGTCGCCTCCCTGCCTCAACCACGACCGCAGCAACCTCAGCCGTCCCCAGCGGTGACGGGGATGCAGCCGACTCCGGTACCATTTGACACTCCTCCGCGGTCCCACCCCCCCCCCCCCCTCAGGTAGCAGCGGTTCAGGCGGTCGCACCACAGCCGGCGAGGTTAAGCCGCCGTCAGAGGCGGCAGCAGTCTCGGCAGCGGACACTCCCCACACCGTCCCAGCGGTCCCACCCCCCCCCCCCCCTCAGGTAGCAGCGGTTCAGGCGGTCGCACCACAGCCGGCGAGGTTAAGCCGCCGTCAGAGGCGGCAGCAGTCTCGGAGCTGGGACGGTGTGGGGAGTGTCCGCTGCCGAGACTGCTGCCGCCTCTGACGGCGGCTTAACCTCGCCGGCTGTGGTGCGACCGCCTGAACCGCTGCTACCTGAGGGGGGGGGTAGGACCGCGGAGGAGTGTCAAATGGTACCGGAGTCGGCTGCATCCCCGTCACCGCTGGGGACGGCTGAGGTTGCTGCGGTCGTGGTTGAGGCAGGGAGGCGACAGCAACTACCCCCGAACGAAGAGACGGCGCCGCCTGCCGCTGAGTCCGCCGGAACCTCTGCTGGTGCCGGGGGCGCAAACATGCAGGGACACGGCCGGGCGGGGAGTGGTAGACCGGTTCCCGGGACTGGCGTCGCCTCTTGCGCCGCTCGCGGGAAGAAGCTCCGCGCCCAGCCAGCACCGAGGCGGCCTGGAGCAGGGCTGGGACCTGGCGTCCCGGGACCCCTCCTGGGCTGGCTGCTGCAAGGGCAGTCGCCACAAGGGCCAGCACGTCCGCCGCCATCTCACGTCGAAGCGGCTGTGGCGACCTCCACCGCGCAGACAACGACGCAGGCCGCGCCGACGCAGGCGCCGGGAAACCAAGTCCGCGCCACCAATGGGGCGCCGGCAGTGACAGATACGACAGCGGCAGCAGCGGGCTCGAACGTAGTGGTAGAGGCTGTAGGGACCAGGAGGTCGGCACGGCTGGGAGCGATAACCTGGGGACCACCACGGGGAGGCCGCACGCCGTGGATGCCGGCGGGCCGCGGTGGCAACGGAGCGGCTGATACGGCGGGAGCGGCTGGGCGGGGACAACGAGGGGTTTTGCGCGGGGGGATGAGAGGCGGACGGGGAGGGCGCAACCAACAACCCAGATCGGAGATCCCCGTGAGGACTGGCCCCTGGCGGGAGCGTCACGCCAGGCCTGAGAGAGCGATCCCGCAGACGAATGAGGGACAGGAGGTTTCTGACAACTCCGGGGCCGACCCTGAATTTATGGCTGGGGAGGAGGAGACCTCGGAAGAAATCTCGTTGGAAGACGAGGAGGCACCCAGGAGGAGGAACAACCCTGAACCTCAAACTGGACTGGCGGCGGGGGGTATTCCCAGCAACCCAGCGGAAGGAGAAGCACCTGCCACGGAGGAGACTAATGTGCCTTCACCGGCCGACCTGGCCGGCGATGACGCCATCTGGCACATGGCGGGGGAGTGGGATGTCAACGTGCTTCAGCGAGGGGACCAGCCATTCCTCGTCCGCCGGCTGCCACCACACATCCTGGACAGATACAGTCTGTGCCTGCTGGCAGCACTCTCTCGCCTAGATAAAAACCCCAGCTGCCCAGGTGGTTGGACGGTGCTGCTGTTCCTTCCGAGGCTCACCCTCAGGCCTGCGCCCGAACCTGTCTTGGGGAGTCGCTGGGCTGCAATTGAAGCTAGGTTGCACAAATTCCAACAAGGCGAGTGGTCTGGGCTTTTCGAGGAAGCGGGATTCATCCCCGACACAGGAGCCCCGGTACGGCACCAGCCTGACGAGGAAGGGGTTTGCGCTAGAGCGGAGGGGTTAGTGAAAAAAGGGAATATCTCGAAAGCAGTGGCAGCTCTCCGAACGTGCCCCCTAGCAGAACCATCCCCGGCTACACTCGAAGCGCTGCAAGCGAAACACCCTGCAGCGGGTAGTCAGATACCAGCGTGGGTTACCGGAGTCACAGAGTCTGAACTGGCGGTTTCGCCGGATTCACTTCGCGAAATCTTGGCGAAGTGCCCGAATGGTGTTGGAGCGGGACCTTCTGGGACTTGTTTTGAACACCTCAGAGACCCCGCCTTAGCCAACGAGGAGCTGCTGCTGCTTTTCGCCAAGATGGTAAATCGGCTGCTCAGCACTTTCCAGGCCTCCCACGTAAGGAAATTGCTACTGCCTTCCCGTCTGATCGCTCTAGAGAAGCCGAATGGGGGAGTGCGGCCCATAGCGATAGGCGAAACCCTGCTACGCATAGTGGCAAAGGCGTCGCTTCATACCCTGGGGCCCAAGATAAGGGATTTTTTCTTACCAGTTCAGTTTGGAGTGGCGGTTCCAGGAGGTGCGGAGTGCATCATCCACACGGTCCGCTCTCTACTCCGTGAGAAAAAGACCCGCATCGCTCTCCAGCTAGACATCGAAAATGCCTTCAACAGTGTCGAGCGAAGGGCTTTCCTAAGCTCGCTGCAGTGGTCCAACCTGAGCCCGCTACTTCCCCTGGTCCGAAATCTGTACGACGGTCCATCGCCTCTGCTCGTAGATGCTCGACTGGGAGTAGACCAAATCCAGAGCACACGTGGCGTCAGACAGGGAGATCCCTTGGGCCCTCTCTTGTTCGCGGCAGCGATCCAGCCCGCCCTCTTGAGCGTCTCGGCGACTACACCGGAAGTGGCAGTGGTAGCCTACGCGGACGACATCACCATTATCGGCCAACGGGAAGCAGCGTGCCGTGCTTTCACCAAGATAGCGGGCGACTTGGCCGAATATGGACTACGCTGCAACATTTCTAAGTCATCGGCATGGGGAGCGGAGCACGACGGAGATAACAGGGAGCTACCACTAGGCTTGGTGGCGGACCCGGGCGGGATACGGGTCCTTGGCAGCCCTATCGGCAGCGACGACTTCTGCACTGCCCAAGTCCGGGCGGCACTGGGGGAAGCTGCCTCGCCCCTTCCCCTTGTCTCTCAGCTAAACCCGCAACATGCCATGCTCATAATCTCCCGCAGTATATCCCGGCGCATCTCATACATGCTGAGGACGACGCCGGCGACGACCTTGGGCGCTGAGGAGTGGAGGGACTGGAGTGAGGCATTGGTTGGCTCGGCGCTCACAGCTGCAAAGCTCCGCATCCCCAACTCGGAGCTGGAGCAGAGCTTACTGTGGCGACAGGCCACCCTCCCGATTCGGCTGGGCGGTCTGGGAATCATTGACCCTGTCTCTGAGGCCCCGGCCGCCTACATCGCTTCTGTCACGGCGGCGCACATCCTTCTGCAGCACCTGAATCTTCCTCCGGACTGCCTGCTACACAGAGCAACGGCCCTGCTCTCCCACGATTGGAGCCCACCACCGCCGGACAGCAGCACACTGTCAAGCTTAGAGAAGGGGCTGCCAGCCCAGGCACAGGTGGCGCTGGGAGCCTACAGGACGGGGAACAAGGGCACAGGCAGCCTCCAGCTGTGCCTCTCCAAGATAATCAACCAGCGGCGGGCGGTCGAGCTCCTGGGGGACACGGTGGCGGACAGGCCTGGCACCAACAGAGGTCACGCGCTGAGACTGATAAGCCTGAGAGGGACTGGCGCGGGCGACTGGCTACATGCGGTACCGACGAGAGCTGACCTCTCTATTTCCCCTGGTCAGTTCTCGTTGGCCTTGGGCCTACGCCTGGGCATGGAGTTGCCAGTAGCTGACGTGTGCCCGTGCAAACGTGACAATGCGGCGATCGGGGACAAGAGTTTGCCGAACCACCTGCTGCGCTGCCAGGACGGGGGTGATGCCGTCAGGACCCACAACGCCCTAGTCTATGCGGCGCTGCGGATTGCTAATGAGGCGGGCTACAAAACGTTTCATGAGACCTCAGCGTTCTCACCACCAGACCTCAGGAAACGGGCAGACTTAGCAATACGGGACCAGGAGTCGGGGGCGACATGGGTAACGGATGTCACCGTGACAGACCCAGTTTTACAGAACAGAGACAGCAGGGCCCGCAGGCCGCCTGGGTGGGCCGCGGAGGAAGCCTCACAGCGGAAGCATCGGCTATACGAAGGGCGCCCCACCTATGCCGGATTCTTTGGACTGGCTGTCGAGACCTACATGGCCATGGCGGCAGACACAGTCCAGTTCCTTCGCATGCTGGCTACCCACGCGGCGAAGACGAAGTTCAGACAGGGGCGCCTCACAACAACGGCAGCTCGGCTCACTGCACACTACCGCCAGAGGTGGTCGGTGATGCTGCAGCGCAGCCAAGCCATCTCACTCCTCTCTAAGTCCAACCGAGCAGCCGAAGCGGCATTCCCGCAGGCTGCAGGAGACCCCTGGGCCCCACGGCTAGGGGACCTCTGGCAGATGGCGGAGGATGAGTATGAGGAGCGGGAGGCTCCTGCCAGGGCGGCTTAGAGGGGCAGGAGGGAAAAGTCGGCGACTGCAGGAAAGTGAGAGGAAGCTCCGGGGGGGCAGGGGGACTTGGGTGGGGTCGGGGGAGCCACAGGACAGGAGGAGAGGGAGGTACTCGGGGGTTTTGGCTCTGCTGCTAGCCGGCCCGCTAAGATGTTAGGGGACAGGGCCGTACACAAACGGCATGCCCGCTTGGCTTGCACTGCTTGGCTTGCCTTGCTTGCCCATATGCTTGCCTGTTCGCTTGCATGCTCTGTTTGCTAGCTCTTAGGTTTCCTGGCTGCCTACAGGCCCAGACAAACTAGCTACAGCCATCTCCTGCCATGTCTGTAACTCGTGACCACTATCAATACATGACTACTTGAGAGAGAGAGAGAGAGAGAGAGAGAGAGAGAGAGAGAGAGAGAGAGAGAGAGAGAGAGAGAGAGAGAGAGAGAGAGAGAGAGAGGCCCTAGGAGCTAGTCCACAGCCTCTCCAAGCACTCCCCAGCCTAGTATAAAGTGCTCCTCTGCAGCTAGCTCTCCTCATTGTTCGGTTCTCTTCATTTGTTTCTCCTAACCGAGCGGAGAGAGAGCGAGAGAGAGAGAGAGAGAGAGAGAGAGAGAGAGAGAGAGAGAGAGAGAGAGAGAGAGAGAGAGAGAGAGAGAGAGAGAGAGAGAGGCCCTAGGAGCTAGTCCACAACCTCTCCAAGCACTCCCCAGCCTAGTATAAAGTGCTCCTCTGCAGCTAGCTCTCCTCATTGTTCGGTTCTCTTCATTTGTTTCTCCTAACCGAGCGGCTCGCGGCCTTCGGCCGCGCGTGAGGCAACGACAAGCACACAACACACAGAGTTTCTCGTAGCGGCAATACAAACATGGCAAGTCCTACCGCAGCCTAGCCGCGCAAACCTCTAATGGCAGAGCCGGAGCCCGCATCTACATGCGGTGAGCTCCGAGGGCGTGAAGAATGCCCGTCAGGGAGCGCCACAGCTCCCGGACCACAAGCGTGCTTGCGCCGATCGCGGCGGCTCCAGACCCAGCACGCAAATGGCGCCGCAAGCCGCGCACAGCCTCATCAAGCGGCCCCGCCGCCGCAACGCCTCCCTCGGCGGGCGCAGCCAGCACGGGCGCCAGCAGCCCTGCAAGCTGATCGGCGGCGTCCAGGCAAGACTCGCGTTGACGATCCAGGAACAACTCAAGGGGGGCAGCAGGGAGAGACGAATGTGCGAGAACCTGTATCAGAAGCAGTGCGTGAAAGCTCTCTGCGAGACGGAAGAGCTGGCCGAGGGTCGCCTCCGGAACACGGGCCTGAGGGGGTTGCAGCGCATGCGCAAGGAACTGGAATGGCTCCGCAACGGCAAGAGGAGTCGGGCCAACTGCCGTCACCGCTCCGCCTCCCACAGCCACAAATTCTACTCCTGCCACGGGCGGGACTGGCGACAGATGCAACAGCGACCCTGGAACGGGAGCAGTCGCAGCAGCAGCGGGAGGTGATGGGGCCGAAACACGGGATTGGACGAGTGCAGCAGGAGGCGGAACCTCAGGAGGCGCCGCCTGACGCTGAGCGGCATGGGCGACAGCAACGTGCGAGCTGCCTTGTGTCTGAGCAGCCCTCTCTTCACGCATCGTGGTCGTTACCGCACGTTGCAGATCCGCCATCCTCACGGGCGGATCATACGATCCTCCCCCATTGCGACCACGAGAACCCCACCAGCCACCGCGACCGCCACGGTGAGCTGGCCACCGACCCGACTGTTGATTGCGCCGGGAGAATTCCGCCGGCGCCGGGAGGACGCCCGATCCTGTTGGGGCGCTGGAGAATGGGGGCGAGATAGGCGACGGTCCGGCGAGGGAGGACGAGACTGCAACGCTGGCCGCATCTGCTGAGCCACGGGAGGCGCAACGGGAGCAGACGGGTCCAGTGCAGGGGACACAATCAACTGCGCCGGGCCGCCAGTGGTGGCGGACGCCGGCTGCGGGGACGAGGCAGGCACAGAAGTCTGCGGCTCGGGGCCCGAAGCTGGGGGCCCAACGGGAGCGGGAGCCGGGAGTGCGGCGTCCGACCTTGACGGGCCATCAAGTGGAGCCTGGGGAGCAGTTGGCGTGGTCGGAACGGATCGCTCAGCAGCAGCAAGAGCCACAGACTGAGCGGCAGCTGCGGCAAGGGGAGCCTCGGGTTCGGGGCGAGGAGGCTTTTCAGCGGATGTTGTCGAGGGCTTCGGAGCCAGAGGCACCGGGGGCTTCTTCGCCGTGGTCGCCTTTCCGGTCTCAGACTGAGGCTTGGCGACCACTGCCGACCAGGCGGCAACGTGCTCTGGCGACGGCTCGGGAGCTCCAGCAATCACCATCACGAGGTCGGGCAGCACGGGAAGAGAGGAGGCAGGCGGTTAGCGGAACAGGCGGAGGGCCGGAGAATGGGTTTCAGGCTGCGGGACGTCGGGCTTTAATTGCTCTGGTAGCGGCTAATGCAGAAGGGGAGAGAAATGACCCCTCTTATACTACGGGAGCGGAGCCAGACAGTGAAAACGAAGACGAAAGCGACGGAGCGGAGGCAGCGAGAGTAGGGACAGGGAGGAGAAGACCTGAGACAGCCAATTTACCCACAGCGGGAACAGAAGGGCGTGCAGGGCCATTGGATGCCGATCGGACGGATGAGAATCCAACTCGGTAGCAATCAACGACACCGAGTCGCGCACGCAGACATCGGACCGCTTCCCTCCACCCTGTGTCAAGATTGGCCCCGCAGCGCCCGCGCTATTTTTCGCCAGTAGAGCTAGCGGAGATGGGGGACAAATTCGCCGACATAGCGAATTGGGACATTTCCGCCCTCTGCGACAGTCGCCAACCGCCGCTGTCAAGACGATTACCGCCTAACCTGTGCCAGTTATTCTTGCTGGCACTCCTGACCCCGCTACTTCACCTCTCGCGAAACCCTGACTCCGAAGCGGGTTGGAAACTGCTTCTCTTCCTCCCGCGTTTGACCTTTCGCCAGGCTTCGCCAAAGCACCCAAATTGGCCACAAATCAAGGCCCGTCTTCGGGCATTCCAGCGTGGCGAGTGGTCACAGCTCTACCAGGAGGCGATAAACGCGGTCAACTCCCCTCCGCCCCCACGTCACCAACCCGATGTGACAGGTGTACTGAGCAGAGCCGAGGGGTTGGCGAAACGTGGCAGTCTGCGTCGAGCCGTGCTGGCGCTCGAGTCAACACCCGTCTGTACACCGTGCCCAGAAATTCTAGACGAACTCCGACAAAAGCATCCACCAGCGGGAGATGAACAGCTGACCTGGCAAACAGCCGCCGCTAAGCCCCTGTGCATTTCCCACGCAGAATTTGCGAAGCTCCTCGGGAGATGCAAGAATGGTGTCGGTGCCGGACCTTCCGGTACAACATTTGAACACCTGCGCGATGCTGCAATAACCAATGCATCCGTCAGCACCCATCTGCACGCCCTCGTGAATACAATTCTGGGGGGCAACCTCCCAGCTTCGGTGGCGGACCTGCTAACAGCGTCTCGGCTCATCGCTCTGGCCAAACCTGGGGGGGGGGGGCGACCAATCGCAATTGGAGAATGCCTGACGCGGCTGGCTGCCAAAGCTGCGCTCTTGGTCATGGGGGAGGCTGCACGTGACTTCTTCCTACCCCTACAGTACGGAGTGGCGGTGCCTGGTGGGGCGGAAGCGATAATTCATGCCGCCCGAACGTACGTGGACTGCCACCCAAACAGCCTGGTACTACAGACCGACATAGCGAATGCTTTCAACAGCATTTCGCGACAATCCATCGCAGCGGCATTACAAGAGCCAACTCTGTCGCCACTACTCCCACTGGTTCGACTGACCTACGGTAACCCGTCGCGACTCTACATGGACTCGACCTTCGCGAGCGAGCCCCTACGCAGCGAACGGAGCGTTTGCCAGGGCGATCCACTCGGCCCGCTACTGTTTGCGGCGGGAATACACCCTACACTTCGTGACACTGCGGCAGCTTACCCTGGGGTGCTTTGCTTGGCCTATGCAGACGACGTGACATTCGTGGGCGCACACAGTGCCACTGTAGCCGCGTTCAACCACTTCACCTCGAAGTTGGGATCACTAGGCCTGAAGCACAACCCGCAGAAGTGCACGGCATGGAGCGCTACTGCGTGCGACTCTGCTGGGTTGCCTCCAGGGGTGCCGTTCTGCACGGACGGCATCCGCTTGCTTGGGAGTTTTCTGGGGGCGGCCAACGGCGCAGCCACTTTCTTAGCAGGGCAGCTGAGGGACCTGGCGAAACCGTTACACCTCATCGAGCGGGCAGATCCTCAGGTGGCCTCGCTGCTGATCACGCGCTGCATCTCTCGGCGCGTGTCGTATCTCACCCGAACAACTCCCCTCAACCTCGTTTCACGGGACACCTGGACGGAGTGGGGCCGTGACCTCCTCTTAGCACTCCTTACTTCGTGTAGCATTCATGTGCCGGCGGGCAGAGCGGAACAGGCACGCGTCTGGGCGCAGGCCTCCTTGCCCCCCTCTCTTGGGGGAATAGGTGTTACTCACCCCCTCGTTGAGGGAGTCTACGGTTTCGTCGCGAGTTTCACACAGGCGGCTCTGCTTTTCTCAACGCTCGCGCTGGACACGGACACCGCACTCTCTCACGCGCGCAGCCATATGCTACGGCCGGCGGATGAAAACACACCGCTTCGCTCCTGGCTCACAGAGTGCGAGTCCGCCCTGCCTTCCGATGCGCGAGAGCTGCTAGAACGGGAACGACTTAAGCGGACGGATGTCAAACTACAGCACGCCCTTGCCCTACAGGTCCACGGTAGCCGCTACGCCGTGCAAGTACAGGCAACAAGAGATATGGAGCTGAATCCGCTGGCAGGCCATACGCAGCGGATGTTCTCTCTAACAGGCTACGGCACAGGGGAGTGGCTGACAACTATCCCCATAGAAGCAACCAGGCGCTTAGGCCCGGTACACTTCGCCAACGCCGTCAGATTCAGGCTCGGGCTGCCCTTCTCCACCCCCAAAAACTGTGACTGCTC